AAGAGTCTTGAGGGAGGACAGAGTCAATTTAATCATTATTTTGTTTGTTGCTTCAGCTAAATGGCTTTGTTTTGTTATATGTGTATTTTAGTACTTATCTCACTGTCATCAGATGCTTAATGGGATCTTAGGAAGTCTGGTGTAGAAAAGTGGAGTGCAAGCTTTAACACAGCTACCCCTTCACCTGGCACTGAGGGATGATTCAATCCATCACTTTTCATTTAATATAATAGACTGGACCTTGGTCAAAAATATCACTGGTATAAACAAATGGAATCATTGATAGATCATTGTTGCAAATAACCAATGACAAATACCCTGCTATTTTTCCCTAGTTTTGCAAAGTCCTCTCTTTTGATTAAAGCTGGCAACTATCAGGATAAAAGGACACCTGTCAATACTTGATAGATATTCTTATGAAATGTGTTCCTAAAGTGCTAAAGCCTATCCTTTTCTATAAGAACTGTAACTCTTAGAGGGCTGATTAATTCTAGGATGCATTCTAAGATGCCTTCTCCTAGCACACTGATGATTGCTCAGATCTGGAAGCAAAGACCCGAGTCATCCCAGCTTGCAACTCTGCATTTTAAGGAAATTTCAGTTTTGGATCTGTTTGTCTCAAAGCATTATTAGCAAAAGTAAAACTGGGGATGCTGAAGAGGCAGAGTAGACATTGGTGTCATGGAGGAAGAGCTGACTGCCTGATGCAGTAGCCTGCTGTCTTCCCCTAGGTCAGGTCAATTCCCTGGAAATCACATCCCTACAAATTCAGTTGCTGGGCTGGTTTGGTACTGTACTAAGGCTAGGAGGTATGGTGTGTGATGCTTTGTGAACCAGCCTGAAAATTAGTCTGCACCATTAAAAAAAATTCACAATGCTAATTTTTCACTGCCTCAGACTCATTTTCTCCTTAGGGATGGAGAAGAACATTTGCATACACATTGATTAAATGGAATGCATTTGGTATTTTAGATGTATTCACTCTGAATTGTTGTATATAATATAACAATGTTATATATAATTCACTCTGAATTGTCATTTTAATCCAGACTGTGCAGGGTCCTGGGGGGAAGCCAACAAACACAATATATGTCTACATCATTAAAAATAATTTAAGTGTGCTGGAAAAGAAATGTACAAGTGTTTGCAGGGTATTCCATATTTAGTCAGGGGTAATGATAAATAATTGTTGGTGTTCTCAGTTTATAAGTCAAAAAGCAGGTTTTAAATATGTCAGCCTTCTGTCTGGATTCTGTAAAAATAAACTGAATAACATTTTCCTAACATTCAGTCCTTGTTACCACAACCTCAAGCTTCTCGCATTAATTCATCCATTGGAGCCCTAAAAGTCCCCTTAAGGTAGGTAAATATTGTATCCTGGTAGGGAACTGAAGTGTAGGGCAGGCTGAAAGTAGCTGACAGAAATTACCTATAAAAAAGGGCTTATAGACAATCTTCAAGACTTAATCTCAGAAGATCACTAAACAGTGTTGATGTTTAAATCACTGTAGGTGATTTCTTCATTGATAAACTGTCTCTGAATTGACCATGTCTTCTGGAGCCAAACATGGTTTGTTATCCTTGATGCAGAGAGTAAAGATGTACAATGACAAAGTGCCATTTTTATATGAAAGCAAAGTTTCAAGTAGAATTTTGCTAAAACACCATCCTGTTTTGATATTTTGAAAAGATTAAAGGTCTATTGATCACTAACAATTTCCCAATATTTTTTGATGTGCTTAGGGATCACATAATCTGCTGCTGGAATACACCCACATGTGACCTGGAAAGCAGTGGCTGTCAGAGAGCTCAGAGCACTGTAACTTGACAGTTTAGAGGGGAACATAAAAGAACTTTCTTTCCCATGCCAAATGGTCTTGTGGCTAAAATCTAGCTACCTACTGAAATTCAGTGGCAACTTAAAGAAGGGCATTAATGATTAACTTAATGATATAACTAAAAGTTATATCATTATATAACTAAATAATGATATAACTAACTTAATGATATAACTAAAAGTTATATCATGATATAACTAAAAGTTATATCATTAAGGAAAGACATGTAAAAATGAAATGACCACATTCTTGCTTGGTTCAGTATGTATGTTTTCCTGATCCTCAGCATAATGAAACTGTCAGTAGGGCTATCAAAAAAATCTATATATAAAATAGAGCTGCTAAACTCTCCATTAGTCTCTGTACTCCCACATGCATCAACCCCTTTTATTCCTTCCTTCTGATGTCAGAAAAAGGTAATTTTTGAATTAGATAAAGATAAATAGGAATATAGGTACTGTGCAGTAGGATTATCCTAGAAGTTTTACATAAATTGGCTGATAGGAGAGTTTTGCAGTATTGTTTTCTGCATGGCAAAAGGGTGGTTAAGGCTTGGCCAGCAAGACCAAGAATTACAGTTGTTTGTAGGTGGGTAGATAAGGGGCTTGTAGACCAAGGTCAAGGCTACATATTGATCCTCTCAAAGGCTAAACTTTAGGACCCGATCATAAAATTAATTCACAAGAATTGCCTGTCCTAAATACATCTCTTAGGTCATTCTCTAGTGTCTCCACTTGTTCAGTTAATTGTGGGGAAAGACAATGATAAAAATTTGGTAAATTCTTCTGATTGTTCAGTAAATGCAATTAGTATTGTGCAATAGAGGAGGTCTTGTCATGTACAAGATCTGTTAGGCTGCAAGAACAAAATAAACAAATGGTCTGTATCCCAGGGGTCTTGCAATAGCACAGCTGTGATGTTCATCCATTAGAAAATCATTAGGGAAAAAATTATATAGCATTGGTTTACCAGTAAGCAAGAGTACTACTCAGAATTTTATTTATCTCAGGAATCCTTTAGTCACTTTTAATTTAATCACATCCTAGAAAACACACATTTTTTTTTCCCGTCAAGGTAATTTAGTGCATTAGATGTTTCACAAAGTATCAAGTGAATTACATATGTATGAGTCTCCAGGAAAGCCTTTGAAGGAAGGGTACTAATGTTCTTGTTCTTGAAATAATATCCTCATATTGTCACAAGTTATTAGTGATACTGCCATTTCTCTGTCCTGGGAATGGAGCTTTGTGGCCATTGCTCATCTCCAGCCTCTGTTAGGGCTCTGTATCTCACACTGAGCTCCTTGAAATGCCCTGATCATGGTGGAAAGTTCCTGGGGCAGGTTCCTGACAGCAGTCACTCACTCAGGTTGGGATGGGAGTTGCTGTGGAAGGGGGGCAGTGAAGGAGTTGTTGCAGTGGAGCGTCACCTATCCCTCTGATCAGCGGGAATGCTTGAGCTGGGATGTTGGATCTTGGGCAATTCTTGAACATGTATGTGAAACAAAAACTAGGTCAAATCTTTTCAAGTGATCTCACTGTTGGAACATCGTTGAAATGATTATTTGCTATGTTATATGTTGGTTTGAATTGGTCTCAGTTACCACATATTGATATCAAATGCTTTGTCCCATTGAAACAGGCGCTGTTAAGGCCAAAGGCTGTGTTTGTGTGGCTAGTATGCAACTCACCATGAAAACAATAACAACAATTATTGTTAGAACAATAACAATAATTACAAGCAGGAAACAATAATAATTAGTTCTTCTTGGATCTGAATTTTTATTTTTTATAATATTGCAGTACTAATATAGCAGGATTTAATAATGACAGTCAATTACAGGTCTTAATTAAATGCTAGTACCTATTACTGTGAACAGTAAAATGGAAATAGCTACCTGATGATTTAAGAGTGCTTTATAGGCTCCTGAGAAAAAACATTAAAAATTTCCTTAATTGTTGCTGAGGTTAAAATTGGGAAAGAACATAAGGCATGCATGGCAGATGTTTTATTTTTGAGAATCTAGCTTTTGTTGTAGATTTGCATGTAATAGTGTTTGCTAAGTTTGTAGTTAGTAGTGCTACAGATTTGTTGCAATTAATAAGGTGTGCAAAGTTTTATGTTAAATGCAGGGGTATTTTGTTAAGCTTGTAGATTACATGTTCAAAATTGAAGTCAATGGAAGCACAAAGAAATTAAAGTATATCACTAATAATTTCAGCATCTGAATAACCCATTGTAGATGCCATCAGTTTAATTGCATGTGCATATTAAAACCCCTCATTTGAAAACAAGTTTCTAAATATTCAGTTTATAATGTCAACATCTGTTGAAATATGCAATAGTTTTATGATAATTAGCAATGGGAAAATCATAGAAGTCTTGAAGTTTGATTTAGATAAACAGCCATATTTCTGCTACTTTCCCATCCTACATAAACCTTGTTTTCCTGAAAAAATTCTGGTCCTTCAGCCCTTGAGGGAAGCTATACATGTGTTGTAATTCTGTATTTGTTTCCCACTAGCCTCTAAGAGACCAGAGAAAAATTAGAAGAAAACGACTCATTAATTTTCAAGTTTCATCACAGAAGGGCTGTTCAAAATGCTTTTTTCCCTACTTCCCTCATTATAGTGGTAGCTAAAGAGTTGGAAGACTTCTTTCAGTTTGACTTATTACTAAAGTAATGCAGATTTGGATAATGTGAATTCTTTAGGTTGTTTTGTTGTTGTTTTTGTGGCAGGATTTTTTTTATTTGTTTGGGTTTTTTGTTTTGTTGGGTTTTTTCCTCTCTGTGTGTGCAAACTGAATCAATCTTCAGAGTTTTTTTATTTGAATTCCTGATGTTAGTGAGCTTTCACTTCAAGCTTAGTGATTAATGATGCGTTGGAGACCTGTGCTATAACTGTGCTCTGAAATTTTTTCTCAGCACATCTGGCTCTTTGGTGTAGTCTGGGAGCTTGATCCCCAGTGTCAGACATCACCAACTCAACTGGAACAAAATAAGTTATAATGAAACAAGAAGTTTCTTACTGCCTGACGTGAAAAGTGTGTGCTTAGTGGTGTTTGTGTGATGATGTCAAGCAGGTTTGGAACAAGAACACTGCTGAACTTGGCAGTTTCCTTAAGATACTGTAATCAACCCCACTCTTTTCTCAACGCTAGGATTCTGCCAAACATCTGGCTGGGAAGCTGTCCTCGGCAGCTGGAGCATGTGACCATCAAGCTGAAGCATGAGCTGGGTGTCACAGCTGTGATGAACTTCCAGACTGAATCTGACATTGTCCAAAATTCCTGGGGCTGCAACCGCTACCCGGAACCCATGAGCCCTGAAATCCTCATGAAACTGTATAAGGAAGAAGGCCTTGCCTATGTCTGGCTGCCAACTGCAGACATGAGCACTGAAGGTAATGCTCATGTCACTCTTGCAGTAAATTAATCGCAACAAACAGTTGGAGTTAATAATCTGTCACTTTCATGACAGCTGGGGTGGGGGGGAGGAGTTCTGTGCACATTTTGCATGAAAGCGCAGCTGGAACACAAGGTATAGTTTCTTTGTGTGCTGTCTTTAACAAATTATTCATATTTTCTTGTAGGCAGAGAGGGCATCTGAAGTACTTTGTGTCTGGCAGTATTATTTGTAATAATTTGTAATAATGTTTAAAGCCATCTGACATCAATAACTGCTTGACTGTTTTTACTTTCAGCTTGAGTTCAGCCTACATAATGAAAGTATGCTGTGTAGGTGGAAGACTGCAAGTTTGCAGAGCAGGGCAGCTTGCCACCTTTGCTGATTAAAAATGGAGAGGCAGTGCTGTGTGTCTGCTGTTCCCCTCCCAACAAACACTTTTTCTTTAAGTGTAGTATCCCAGTCTGATGAAATTCCATAGCAACATTTATATAATAGTTTGCAATTAATACTCATAGCACCTAAGCTGTAACATCAGTTACTAGTACTTTTAAGTCCTTGGTTGGAATGCTCAGTTCAAAGTCTTGTTTCCAACCAGAAGGTTAGAAAGTGAGTGTGTTTTCAAGTGAGCAGCCTGGCAGCAGAAGTGAGTGCTTTCAACACAGGGAAATACACTGCCCAAATAGGTAACTGTCATATCAGCAACAGGACATCAGGGAAGACAGGAGACCTTAAAAGAGGGATCTGAAAGGGCTTACTGTCAGTGCCCATATGTGCCATGAGGAAAAGTTGGGCTCTGCTGCTTGCAGCTCTGTTTCCCAGGATAGCCAGAAAAAAAGTGTCAGAAAATATGGTATGTTCATTCCTTTGAGAGTGAGAAAGGCTATTCTGTGTTGTTTGACTGTATGCTTAGTGCACAGTGAAATCATAACAGTTTTAAGTTGTACAGTAAAATGTTCTTCTGCTCCTGCTCCCTCCTCACTTACTGAATGTGGCCTTCATTGCAACGTTTTGGAAATCAGCAGTCTGTAGGTACCTTCACAAACCTCTGGTATTTCAAAAATTGAAATTTCAGTTTTGGCTTGCTGACTTTAACGCTATGTAAGTTGTGCTGTTCTCTATAATGTGCTGCCTTGTCTCAGTTCCTTTGAAAATGAATGCGCCACACACATCTGATGTTATCAGAATTTGTATTTAGAAGAGACTTGGGGCATTTTAGTTTTGTGTGATCTGATTCTATATTGCAAGGAAAAAAACCAACAAGTTAGCCTAGAAAGTGGTTTGAGAAAAGAAAGAAAAAAGTGGAATATATCAGGTCTGCTATTATATTTCACAATTCATCAGGCTGTGCAGGCAGAATCTCAGCCACGAGCTGACTTTGTCCAGTGCAAATGAACGTGCCTTGTTTTTAACCTTAGGCAGGATCCAGATGTTGCCGCAAGCGGTGTGCCTGCTGCACGGGCTGCTGCAGAACGGACACACTGTCTATGTGCATTGCAATGCTGGCGTGGGCAGGTCCACAGCTGCCGTCAGCGGCTGGCTGAGGTACGTGCTGGGATGGAGCCTGAGGAAGGTGCAGTACTTCTTGGCTGCCCGGAGACCAGCTGTCTACATCGATGAGGAAGCTCTGAATCGTGCTGAAGAAGATTTCTACCAGAAATTTGGGCACCTTCGTTCCTCGTATCAAATCCAAGAGTAGAAAAGCAGAAGAAGAAAAGGAAGGTGAAGAGGAATCCTTACATTTGAACCTCAAGGACTTAGAAATTTCTGTCTCTGGCACCCACCTCAACTCTTCAGATTATAAGCTTCTTGTAAAAGTGATGAGAATTTTGTTTAAAAAGTGCCTTAGAGGTTTTTATTTTCTTTCCTTAAGCTGACATGGTTCATGTTTTCAAGCCTTTTAGTGCAATTATGAGACCTAGAAACTGCAAAGGGAAGAAAGATTTTCTTTTAACTACTTGCCTATAGGAGCTGAAGTTTTAGGCTAGAGACTAAACAAGACGTGAGGTGAAATAGAGTTGGCAATAAAAAGTGAGAAGAAAAAAATATGAATATTGACTGGATTAAGATTCAGATTAGGATGGAGCAGATCATTATCAAAGCTGCTCAGTTATGTTAAGCAGATATTAGATTGTTGCAGTGTTTTGTAGTAATTCTGTAGACAAGTGGTATTGATGAGAAAGACCAGAAGGAAACTGGTTCTTCAACTCAGTGTTTAAAAACAAAAAGCTAATGTCTAATGCAGTGAACTAAGATTTGCACTTTGTCCATCCAGTTAATGTTAAGTATTATGGGCTCCAGCTGAATTCTTTCATGACATCGGGATTATGCTGGCCTGTGGCATGGAGAGAGGACAGGGCTCCAGCTGTGGCAGCCTTGCTTTGTCGTGGGGCAGAACCACTGCTTGTTACATTATCCTAGGCTGTGAGTTCTCTGAGATGAAGCTGCGTTTTGCCCCTCTGGTCCATGCAGTGCTGAACAGGGGCTCCCTTAGGTGCCAAGTCAGTCTGAGCAGTGACCACTGGGTAAGACAGGACCTACAGGAATTGTGTGATAAGCAGAGCGCATGACTGGCACCTCAGCCTCTGGGCTGTTGACCAGATTAATATCTTCAATACAGCAAATGCTGCTTGTGCACGCAGTGGGTGTGTGCTAGATTTAGCTCATTGAAGCTAATGCTGGGCTGTCTCTGGGCTGAATGAAGTCAATAGATTCCTCTGTAGGAGCAAAGAGCAACTCTGCAGAGGATGGTTTCTCAGGAGCTTGGCCTCAGTGTTAGCTTTGTGGATGATCCCTAATGTTTTCCATTGCTGCTTGGTCCCTTAGCTAAACTAAGCACCAACAGCTTCCAGTCCCACTCAGATGAAACTAATTTGTTATAAATTGAGTTCAAGAGAGAAGAGAGGATTAAGGATGCATAAACATTAAGAAACATAATTTCTATAGGTTTATTCTTCAGTGAAATCTCATTTTTTTCCAGGCAACTTGTTCCTCTAAAGATGCAGTCAGTGACAGAGTAGTTTAAGTAATAAATATTGATTTTCTGAATGCTTAATGGAGAAACTATTGGATATGAGCTGTTTATGGAGAATGTCCAAAATAATATATTTTATTTATCCTATACTTCAGTCATCTTGAAAAGAAAAGTGTTCATTTAAGTTATTGTATTTGTGGGTTTGACCATGACTTTATTTCTGAATTTTTGAAATAATACTGCCTGTTTAGAAAATGGATGAGAAAATAAAGACAAAATTACTATTCCAGCAGCCCATTTTGTCATGTGTCTTTGTCTCTCAATTTCACAAATAGCAAAAAGGGTCGTAACCCACATTTCTATATAGAAGTGGAACCAGCCACTTTAATGGTGACAGCCCATGTCTTGTCTTGTGCTGTGTCGGTTTGACAGGAAATCTCAAAAAACAGCACAGCAAAGGTGTGTGGACCATATGACACCTCTGGTACCTTCAAAGACTAACACAGGTGTTTCTTCTCCTAGCCCAGAGCAGAGAGAAGAGGGAGTGTGTGAGTGCTCCTGCCTGGCTGCTGGGCTCACATAAAAATGTGCAGAGCTAGCTGCCTGCCCAGGAGTTACCTCATTTTGACTGAGTTTAAAGTAAAATTGGTGAGCTTTTGCTACCATATTCTCCTGAAAATCAAGCACTGAGAGAAGGAAAATGGTTTGAGAAACAGAGTACAAATTGCTTAAGTTCTACATTTCTGCTGAGATTTATTTGAAACCGCAAGCTTAAAATGTGTTTCCAAGCATCCCTGATAGAAGCCCTTTCCTCCAGATGCAACTTGTAATAAATTCTGGGGCAAATACTTGCAGATTTGATTCTTGTTCCACAGGTAATGTATATATATGTGGATATATATACACAGTTTTAAGGCTCTTGGGACTGAGCAGTGCATATCATGGCACAAACAAGTATATGACTAAGTATAGCCACTCTCTATTGGCCACTTTCTAATTTTGATTATATTGGCAATGGAAGCAGACTGACGTTTCATTTGTAGGGCAGGAATCCACAAGACACAGGAGTCACAGACTCAAGGATGCCCTAGCAGGCTGTTAATTCATTGTTTACTGTCAATTCAGCAAGGGGTTGTTGATTCATTGCTTATTGCCACTTCAGTTTGCTTTTCTGCTGAACTGCTTGGGAGCACACATCATAGAGATTGCATTAGCTCATGAACTGCATGAAAACTACTTGCCAACATCACACTAACAAAGAATGCAAAGAGATCCCAGAGGATCCCAGGGGTTTGCAGCCCCTTTGTAGGATTTGTAGCATCCTTTTTTTCCCTCATTGCTACCTTCCTGCCTTTTGTCAATGAAGACCTCTCTGTCAAGCAACATTCATTCAAAACTTTTTCTGTGGAATGCAGCTAGGAACTGAAATGCTACAGGAATCATTGCAAGAGACTATAGCAACAGAAAAATCAAACCTATAAGAATATTCAATTTCTTCAAATGTGTAATTACATAATAAATCTGCATCTAGAGATAATGTATTAGATTTCAAATTTGTAGTGTGTCCTTATGCTGATTGGATCATTAGCTCTTTCCACAGGCTAGCCTCTTGATGTAATTTGGATGAAAGGATCAAGACAGGCTCTTGTTTATATACTTGTATATTTCCTTGCTACTTTAGTCCTAAAGCACTACAAAATTTTGAGAAAAAGAGCCCCTGTAAAAAGAATTAGAATCAGATAGACAGTAATAGTTATTTTGGAGGGGGCCCAAGAAGCCCATAATAATGGGAACCAGGTAAAAATGTTTTGATAACTCATCAAAGAATAGCATCAGTTGGAGAAAACAGCTGTGATGCTGTGAGCATCAATATTCTCTGCCCTGTTAGAGCCATGTTTTTACCTCCATGAAATGAAAGAATTTGCTGCTTGAATTGGAAACATTTATAACTCCAGGTAGTTAGAGTGTCTCTGTGTCATTGTAAGGCCAAACAATAGTATATATTCTTTCCCAGGGCTATGCACATGAAGGAGTTAAGCAATTCTCTTACAAGTGATTTTGTAACCATCCCAGCTCCTTGAGGGATGGGTTTGGCTTTGAGGGGTATAGTTTTGTGAATATTTTTCCTTTGGACATCACAAAAGTATTAGTGACAATCTTTAGCAGGACATTTTTAGATTGATGATGCAAGCTGATGAAAGGGAACTGTTGTGTCTGGTGTGACTATTGGAAACCTTCCTTTCTCCCTTACTCCTTACTTGCTATTTTGCACTTTGAGCTTTGATCCCTTTGCTTATGTTGTAAGTTTATTATTTTCCCTCCCAGTACAGCAGCAAGCACAACAAAGCTCTGGCTGCAGGTGTGATACCAGGATGTTCTCCATGGCTGAAAATCTCAAACCTGGCAGCTGAGTTGTATGTGCTGCACAAAATCATGTGCAGAACAGTCTCTCTGCTCTGGAATTAAATTAAAATTTGAGACTGCCAGTCAAGCCCATGTGGGCAAAGGAAAGGAAAAAGGCTGTGGATTGTGATGGAGCAGGTAATAAACATCCCTATTTAAAACAAGAATGAAAAAAGTCAGAGTTATTCCATTACCTATCCTGATGGCCTTTTTGAGCTCTAATCTATAAAACCCACTGAATTTACTGGTCTGTAATTGAGGAAAAAAATCTAAAGTAGCCAAACACATTTGCTCTAAGTGTATTAGCCTGTTACTCCTCTTATTCTTCATAATTAAATTGCAGTGAGATGTTTCAAAACAATGATGAAGTTACAAAAAAAATTATTCTTAAAAAAATATACTGTGCAGCAGAAAACAATGAGAAAATACTTAGAAGCATAATAACTACTGGGAAAAGCATATATTTGGCAAGCAAGAATTACCTTCTGGAAGGATAATGAACATCAGGCTGCTGTTAGCTAAAATGGAATTGGATTAATGCAGCAAAAGATAGCTGAATGTCTCCAACTCTGTTTATATTCTCAGTGGTAAATCACCTCTGCAGATATTTCTTAAAAAGTATTCTGCAGGAAAAAAAAATTGTGGTTTATTTTCCATATGAATCTAATGCAAAGGGTAATGGGCTGCTCTGATGGAGCGGACTGGGAATGGTAGAAGTGGAAAGGAATTAACAATTTTTATGTCCTTCAGCAACAGAGTGACATCACCAACAGCAAGACCAAACCACATGATTTCACAATTGATCTGCTTCTTAACATATTACAGGAAAGCAGTATTTTCAAGGGCAATGACATTACCATATATTAGGATAATTGCAGGATTTTAATACGAGTAACCAAAATACATATTGTTGGCACTTAAGTTGTGCTAACAATGAACCTATGGGGTGCTCATTATTAATTAGACAAATTTGCTCTTCCTTTCACCTCAAGGTCTTTTGTTAGAGTCCTAATAGTTTATTTTTAATTTTGGGGCTAAAAAATTTCCATATTTGTAAGAATAAGTAATGAGTATTTTATCAAACCCTTTTTAAGTATTGAGACTTGTCTTATGAAGTAACAACTGTTATATCCTGTAAACTAAAGATGGTAACTAACTTAACCTGACATGATTCAATCTTTTTGTGCTTAAATGTTTTGTCTTATTTGGGAGATTGAATTTGTAAAGATTGCAGGATAATGTCTGTGATTTGATAATTACTTCAATGCTGATGCTGTTATATTTGCAGCAAGGAAAAGAAAAGGCCTGTTTATTCATAAGCTGATAAAATATTAAATGATATCTCATTCTTGATTTAGATAATGTGAAGAAAAAGCATAAAAAATCTTCAAAGAAGAAATTTCTAATGCTGGACAGGTTTCTGTGGCCATTACTTAATGTCATTATAACAAAATTTATTTTGTGGTAATGCAGTTTCAGCAGGGAAATAATTAATGATCAGGCCATCGTCCAAGAGTAGCAGCCATGGTTAAGTTGGGCAGCCAGCCCAAAGTCACTGCAACAAATCAGATGCTGAAAATTAATCCAATCTGCCAAAATTCAATAAAATGCATAAACAGAGAGGTTAAGTATGAAAGACTGTGTTTAGGCTTAAAATGCAGTTTGCAATATTTAGCTGTATAAACAAAAAGAAACATGGAAGGATAAGCTTTCCAGAACACAGACCAGCTGGATACCTTCTCCTGGGCAATTAACTCATGCAGTGCACTCAAGCTGGTGAAGCTTCATGAGCACAGAAATGGTTGCTGGTGCCCTGTGGTTTGGCAGGCACATCAATCCTTTGTGTAGAGATGTGTGGTTCAGAAATGGGATCCCTGTGGCTGTGCTTTGGAAGTGCTAATGGGAAGGGCACCACTTAAATTATAGCTCCAGGTGGAAGTCTAGACAAAACCACATCTTGATGGAGTCTTTCTCTTCACATGTGTCTTGCTGAAACAGGCAAGCCTCTCATCTGTCTCCCACCCTGCAACACCTGTGCTTATAGCCAGAGAGGGAAATCCTCACTAGCAGCAGTGGCCCTGGCACCAGCCACACTCTACAGGTGAAATGGATTGTTTAATCTCTCTACTCGAGTTATTCTGTTTCTTAACATGTAGCTAAATGGGAGAATTGCTGCTTCCAGTGCCTCCAGTCACAGTGGCTGTGGGGGTGCTGTGAGAACTTGATCAGACAATATTTCAGGTACTTTGGAACCCCATGTTAATGTGGTCTAAATGTCCACCTTAAATTTCACCAAGAGTTACTGGTCCAGGACCCCCACATACTTTCCTGCCACATGTGTGAGTATTGCAGCTTGGTGGCACTCACAGGCAGCCCAGGGTGTAGCAATAAGAACCAGGACTCTGATCTGCCTTCTTCCCACCTGGGATGTCTTACTCACCAACAAGGAACAAGGACGAATGAACAGATGCTGGCATCTTTAGCCAGACTCGATGTAGGTTTTTATTGTTGTCTTCTGGCACTTTCCATCCAAGTGCCCTTTTCAAAAATAATATAAGCAATCATGATATTGTATTTTCAGCACCACTGAAAATCTTAATTGTTTGTTTGGTTTTAGTTTGTTTGGTTTTAGTTATTTTTAAATTAAGCTTAATTTACCTATTCCATTTAGTAGCCATGGGCAACTAAAGCAGAAAGTGCTGCTCCTAATTTCTGAACTCTTCTACTCTTCTTATAAGGTAAAATAAATTCGTTGTTTGGCAGCAATTTTCATGCAGAGGACTGCAAAATGTCTTGTAAGGCAATAACTAGATACACTAGTCACTAGTTATCTTCCTCTGTACTAGAGGAAGATGGAGAAACAGGAGTAGGAAAATGCCTGAACTGAAGAAATG